CGTTCGCGGGCCATCTCCTTCCCATCTTCGACGCGGCGATCCGCATCCACGACGTATAATTCTAGGTCTCAGGTGAAGGATGCTAATGTGGGAGTCGCTCCCCTCCGGCCTGCCGGGCGGTCCATCTTTCGGGTCTCGCCAGCCGTCAGCCTTTTATTATCTCGTCCATCTCGTGAGACTCACCTTGTCCTCCCCCTTTCCACCCTTTCCATCTTCTGTCCTTGAGGAATGCAGCGGGTTTCCCTCCCAACCTGACTACCCCATTAGGGGTGGGAATCCATTCCGTAGTCCACACAAGTTCAGTGCGACGGGGTATTCCCTTATCGTAAGAGGAATTTCTACTCAGAGCGTGACCCAGATATTAGCAGATATTATTTTTGCTCTTTCCTTTTTCACAAGTCTGCTGCAATGTTTTTTTAAAGCTAAGGGTGGATTTTTGAACAGAGCACTATCCGATAATGCAGCTTTATTTCAGAGAAAATGCATGATAAATCCAGTAAATAAAGCTGCATTATCGGATAGTGCTCTGTTCAAAAATCCACGCTAAGAATGTAAACGATCAAGAGCTAATTTCTACTTCTGACAAATAATTAACTACACCCACACCCCCTTATTTTCTAGAAACCCCCTAATGTGTCTTGTTTCGAGGGCCAACCCTCGATCCCTTTTTTCCCCCCGTGCATTTGTCTCGCATCAATAACCGGCCTTCCTCAATCCAACGGCTATTAGCGAGAAATTAGGACGAACCGGCGGGCGACCGGGGGGAAACCCGGCTGATGGACGGCCGTCGGACGAACCACTCCCTCTCCAATATATTCCCTTTAAGTATAGGGAGTTATCGCTCGGCGTCGGCGATCGCTTTCTCGCCGATCGAGCCAATAATCGATTCGTCGAAACAAAAGGGAAAGTTTTGCAACCCCCGTGATTGTGGTTCCTTCGCTTCCGCATGCTACCGGGGGAAGATTTCGTCCTGATATGCGTCGCATGCCCACGCGGACGAGAAGAATCCAAACCACGCCTTTTACCGCCTTTTACCGCCTTCTAATACTCCGAGGCCTTCGTGGTCTCAAGCAGGTTCTAGCCTGTCTTTGAAGCGGGACAAAACGAATGCTTTATAGCTTTGCAATAGACGGATGATAGGTGGTCATTCGAAGAATTTAGAATGACAGACGTGGAGTGCCACTTTTAACCCTTAAACCACCAAGTTCTCGAAGTTTCGCGTGTTAAAACGTAGACACTGGGTCAAATTTGGCACAGGTTGGTTGTTTAAGGGTTAACATGTCACAATTTCCCGGCTTCGATGAAAACTTCTAGAAAACGATTTAGGAGCTAAGATACCGATGCATTTCCTTGGACCCCTCTCCTTTCGGGACTAATCGAAGGAATTCCAGCCATCTTCAGCTGATCTTATTGTCAATAGAGCGTATCACTGTGCAGCGTTTTCAGATCGACATTTACCTGCCGACTCCCATTGCACCTTTGTCGATGGCGTCCGAGAGGCACCCAGTAATCGCAGTCGTCGTTCGTTGCGAAGGGCTACGCGCCGTAGAAAAGTACGGAGAACGCATAAATGAGGGCAAAAGCGGATCCAGGAACGCCGTGCGTGCGAATGCAACGCGCTTCGTGCGATGCGACGCGATCCACGTCGCATCGTATCACGAGATGCTCTTGCTTCTTTGCGTGATCGCGCAACATCTGGCCGTGGTCACGTCATGTTTTGGCATCCAGTCAAAGGTCGAGTTATTAGCGTGGGATTCGAACGAGAATCTTGCGAGTCGTGGCGTTGCCAAATGACTTCTCGTTCCGAGTTCCGACTCCTCGCTCTGAAGCAAGAAAACGACGTTCCTCGTGCACACAGGAACAGCTCGTCCATCGAGCCGGGCGTAACGACGCGTTCGCGGACGGTAAAGCCATCGTGCGCTGCTGCACGCGGTGTAGCCGTGCCGCCGCGGTCGTCGCGACGCCAAGGCTCATTCTCGTAGCTGTCGGTCGGCAGCCCTCGACAGGGCACCCGGGTTCGAAACCAACTGAGTGAAGCTTTTATTTCTTCGTACAAATCTCTGTGTGTTCGGGCGCTTCCCGTCTCCGGGCTCGGAACATTCGAAAAGAACCCTGTCGGCGAAGGCCGAGCACGGGTAGCATAACCCTGGAGTAACCACTGGGCCAAAATGAGTCTCACGATTGAGGTTGGAGGTTACTTGCGCGATGGCGTTAAGGGGGGGGGAAGGATCATCCAGCGTTTTAGGATACATGGGCCTTGAGCCCTTTGCGCCAGACACTCCATTGTATCTTAGCACAGTGATTTTACGAAGAGTTCTCTCATTCCTATTAGGGCGCTGGATGCCAACGGCGTTTTGACTCGAGAGACATCTTTTGGTCACTAGTTCAGGTTACGATTAGGATAGGAGAAAACGTTAGTTTTGCTGGCGTCAGCGGACTTGCAGAAAATAATAATTTGCAATAAAAGGGTGAGTGAACTCATCGCTGAAAATCCTCACTTCACCCTTATTCGCATGAATGTATTCTGGAATGCCATATGATGGGGGGGGGGGGGGGGGGGGAAAGGCCCTTTGGGCAATAAAGGGGGGGGGGGGGGGGGGGGGGGGGGGGGGGGGGGGGGCGAGAAAGGCCCTTTGTGCAATAATGATTTAAAATGTATTAATACTGAGTATTTTGAAAACTTTTTCGAGAACTACTAATTAAACGACAATTTTACAAGTGACCGTTACAGTAATGGAGCTAAATTGCCCAAGTCTGGGCCTTGAAGAACTCCCCTCATGCGGACGAGGGTTAAGCAATGCGCCCTAATATTCTCTTCCATTATGGCGCCCTCCATGATGCCTCGTGGGTAGTGCGTGACTCCATAGAGCTATGTGCGTTGTTTGTGGTAAGACGTAGAAGGGGCAGTGCCAATGACATTGACCGTACTCCGTAGTTTGATGTGGTCCATCCATGTTCACTTAGGCTTGAACCATCTATTTAGCAATCCAGAGAAACGAATAAGGCATCAAACGTCAACTATGATGTGTAACTTAGCAAGGCCCTAGCCTTAGGACAACTAGATCTAGATCTATGGTTGCCTTACCCACAGAACTGCCAGCGATGAAACTTTGTACCTATGTTTTCTGTCGCTGGAAGCTACGCCTATTTTTTGCTTGTTTGAGAACTTGTTCATCTAATCCTTTTAAAAAATTAGTACCCCTTTCCACTTCTGACTTTGCCTTGATCCGTATCTGTTTCGTTTATTTATTTATTATATCCTTTTGCGTTTTTATCTTCTTTACATCTTAGTTTTATTTCCTGCCTTTTCTCCCCCTCCTTTCCTCCCTTTTGCCAGGGCTTTTGCAGGTTGTGCCCATACCTGTGCCTTCCCATTAATTGGAAAATAAAGAAAGGAAGAAAACATGAGCTTATTGTTAAGCCTGAATATTGTAGGCTCAGCCCAGTTCAAGGGTCATGAGAAGACTAAAGAAGTTGAAGGGGTTAGAGTATGTGGAAGGGTAACTTTGTATAATGGGGTCAACTTTGAAAAGGTCACAATGCATGGATCACTCTGGAGGCAGAGAAAGCCCATGACCATGGTTGATTGGACTGGACATTTAGGGTCCAGTTCCTCCCCTTCATCGTCCTGATGGAAAGGGGGCAAATTATTCATCCCAGGCAGGTCACTAGCTGATGTGATAACCTGTTCTAAGCTTTTTAAATGCTATTGGTGCACATATGTGCCTTGAATTACCTGCTCATTACTGCTGGTGTCATGTATACATGATCAGTATGACACTTGAAATGAATTGTATTGTAATTATTGAGAATTTTATTATACTTCATACTGCCTGCAGAATAAATTATGTAGGGGTTCAAGTCACCTTTACAAAACTCAGCAGTTGAAGGGCTGTTGTCCAATAACCAATCACCTTATGAGTCACTTATTCTAAAGTTTTCTCTCTGAAAGGGTGACTTGATATGCTAACTCAAAAAGAAGCAAGTCAACCCCCCACCAAAAGCATGGTTTTCAAACTTCATCCTACTAATAACAGAACCCTAAGGGAACTCTAGTATCCCTGAGAAACATGATTAACTATCTTCAGGACTTCATGTTAAGCCATTGGAGCATATACCTAGGCCTTGATGTTGCATGCTGTTTGACATTCTAAGCAACCAGTTCTCCAGCATTCTCCAAAAGTGAACAAATTATAGCCCATTTCCTATTTGCTCCTATGAACTTTCTAAGAGGAAGTGGGAGCTGTGCTCTCATGCTCCTTGCAGCAGTTCACAAAATAATTGTTGACCCTTATGGCTCTGGCAATATTTGTGTATTTTCTCAAGTTACATATCCCCAATAAGAGGAGGATGGCTCACCCATCTATTCTTTGTTTTTACCATTCCCACACTCCTATAGGCTGACTCTAATAACTGATTCTTACAGATATCCCTGCGGTTTCTCAAAAGGCTTGTGTAAAGGTTGTCAGGCTAGCCAATCTGCCTTGTTATTATCCATGTTAGTGACCTCTGGCCTCAAGGGGGGTTTTTGCAAGTTAACAAAAATGTGGAGTGACTCCTGCAGTATCAGTTGACTTTCATTTCACCATAGCTTCTCTTATGATTGACTGTGGGATGCCAGTTAGCTTTATAACTTTCTGGATAGACTTCTCACTAATATGACATTAAATGGTCATACTGCATTGAAAGCCTGCTAGCCATGTAACTTCTTGGCTCAGAATGAGGTCCTGTGTCAACTATACATGTTTTTAACCTTGTGCAGAACATTTCCTGTAATTATAGCACAAATTGTATGTAAAAATGTAAATTGGAATGCAATGAATGTCCTGCAATGTCTTGGAGCATAGTGTATTCTTGGACATTTATGGTGAAGGGTTCAAGAGAACAATGCAATAAAAAAATGAGAATTTTTTTATCACTCAGCAAATGACTGGCTCTGCCCTTTCCCTTATAGGTGTATTACTTAGCAGTTTCATGTACCCAATTTTAGGTGTTTACGAATGGTTGGTTATGACCCTAAAGAGAAAACTAAGGCCTTATCAAAGGCTCAATATGGTCTGGCGGGAGCTACCACCGGCTGTGTGACCAGGGCCCTGCTTCAGCCTCTTGATGTTCTCAAGATTCGCTTCCAGGTACTTATATTTCTTGAAGCGAGGTCTTTAGTCAAGCTACCTCTTTTACTTTTGTTGAGTAAACTTTACTGCAAGATTCACTGGTTAAAGGAGGGTAGTAGCACACCTTCCCATTTTCTTCACCCCTACCTGTACCTCTATGTACTTATCTCCATATGCCTACTTGCACAGGATATTCAACACTATTTGTTCAGCAACTGAGGAATTTTATGCAGCAAATTGCTGTCAGATTTGCTGATCATCACTGTTGCAAAATTGATAAAATGGCAACCACTTGTCATAAATGATTTTGATCATATATTAGATCTGCATGAAAATGACTGGTTGGTTATCTCACCTGTAAACCTTAATATAAACATAAAGTAAGGATTGTCACTAAAATTATAATTTCCTTGGGGTAAGACACTGGTATTTCCTGTGGCATCATGTGACATGGTGGGGTGACACAGCAATGGTCCACTGGAACATTGCAACTGCTTTTGCAAGATATTCCTGAAGCAATCTTGATATTTATGCTTCATTTTTTGTCATAAAGTAATGTTTATTTCCCTCTTTCTTATTTTCTATAATGATTTTTATTTTATTATTATTATTAATCAGAAGAGTACGGTGTTCTTGAACATCCACATCTGAAGCGACCATGATATCTCTTCTTATTGTCCTTCACATTACCAGTATTTATTAATTTTGTTTCTGGCCTGTTTATTGCAGATGTGCTTGGAGTGCCCTTACATCAAAATTCACTTCGAAAACCAAACTGCACTTTAATAACACTGCCAGTTTGATAAAACTTTTTCACCATAAACATCTGCTGCTCTGTGATATATGCTTGCTTGTTTGCTACCAACTGTTTCTTGAAATTAGCACTAGGACTGCATAGTATGATACAAAAATCCCAAGCCTGACGTGTCAAATGATACCACCTATGAGGTTGTTGGCAATGTAGTTTAGGAAATATAAGTGATGAAAACTGGAGCATCTTTTTCTGATGACCCTGTATGTGTTTCATCAAGGAAAATGAGAATCTATGTATTAGTTAGGGTTTTTCATTGAGGTTGTTTTAAGGAATTCTGTTCATTTCTGGATTATGTGTATAATGGTACTTGGAAAGAAAGGCTTTATTGCTTTGGAGTATAGCTGCAGCTGGAACCTGTGCGGAGTGGTATGGTGGCCGGGAAGTATGTGGGAATGTTCCATGCAATGAGAGTCATTGTTCAAGAGGAGGGACTCATTGCACTGTGGAAGGGGCATGCCAGTGGCCAGGTCCTTTCTGGGATATTTGGCATCATGCATGTGAGTACAATGATTATGGATATGTATTCCATCTTTGTTGCCACCAATGCCATAAGTCGCATGTTAGTTCTCATATAAATTTTCATTTAAACTTAGGATGCACAAATGTGTATGATGAACTTTGTTGCCCAAATGAATCTCTGTGATGGCTTATAAGGTTTCAACAAATGCTGAGTTTTGGTTGCAGCTCCTGAGTTATGAGATCTTGACAAAGGAGGCATGGACACGCTACCCGAGAGAGACCAACCGTGTGGCAATCAACCTTGCATGTGGTGGTTCTGCTGGCATCATTGCCACAGTGGCATCTTTCCCTTTTGATGTTGTCCGTACCCGCTTTGTCAGCCAAGGAGAGCCTAAGGTTAGTCTTGTATTTCAGTTTTGGGATTTCCTTGATTCAGTTTTAGAGAAGCTCTCATTTAAATGATGCATTTTATTTTTTTATTATTCTCCTTGCATATTGCAGTGGTACATTGAAGGGTCATATTTTTGTAGAGGAAATCCATAGAAATTCCATTCTTAGTCAAGCTATTTGTATATTTTATTGAAGCATTTTCTTTGTGTTTTGAACCAGGTCCTAATCATGTACTTATCTTGTATTTTCACAGATCTACACAGGCATGATCCCTGCATTTTCAGGCCTACTACGTGAGGGTGGGGTGATGGCTATGTACAAGGGCCTTCGACCCACTCTCCTCATGATTGCTCCCTATTCCGCCCTTCAATTTGCCTTCTACCAACTCCTAGTAGATCTGTGGCGACACCTTCAAAGGCAGCCTGGTCTGCATTCCTTTGTCCTGTCTATGTGAGAATCACTCATTACATTATTGACAACTTATTGTTCTGCATATACATGCGGTGAGATAGATTAAGGAAGCTAAGCATCTTTTTTCAGTGTGTGACACCATCATCAGAGTCTAATATAGGAGCTTTGATCCAATATACAGCTAATTGCTGCCAACTTAATCACATTTCCCATCCCTCTTCTCCATAAATGCACCCTAGTGGAGATAGGACAGTGAACTTTGTTGCAGGCTACCAGAGCAGTTATTTTGACCAAATATCAGGACATGAAAGTGCATTAGGCTAGCTTCTGTCTTTTTTTTTGTTATATAGGGATCTTGAAATTTATTGCCACTTTCAGGCTGTTCTCTCTTATTGAAATATTATATACATGGTAATGTAGTTATACAATGGGAAAATAGTTTATTTCATAGTATTTTCTGCCTGAAGCCTTGAATTCAGAAACACTTAGAATCATTTGAGAATGCTGGTTGATATTCATATTGCTGTGTTGCACTCTTCAGTGCATTGCATAGTTGCTGGTGGTGCTCTGTTTTAGCAGTTGTTGAAATTAAGATCTGTTTCCTTTTATGACACAGATTTTGATGCTTTACATTATGATGCTTAGTTGTTGAGGTCTTTTTTTCCATAGACCATGGGAGTCTTGACATGGTAGGGAGCCTGGTGTGTGGGAGTCTATCAGGTGTCAGTGCAAGGACGTTTACCCATCCTCTGGATGTCATGAAGAAAAGGCTTCAGGTCCAGGGCTTCGAGGAGGCACGAAGACCATTTGGAAAAGTGGGCTTCTTTCATACATGCACTGACCTAATCAATTGCCTTTATTACCCTAGGCATCCCCACTTTTTAAAGTCCAGAAATTTTGCTGGAGTAACCAAAAACTAAAGTCATGACCAATAATGTAATGCTACACAGAGGGGTTGTTGGGAGTAGCTGAAAAAGAAAATTTGAAATTTGAAATCAGCAAGCTACTGGAACTTTGGTATAGGAATTGAACTATGGAGTTGGTGCCAAATATTCTCCTAGATGGGTCAAATAGGATGGTTTCAGGATGCCAAGTCACCTTGAAAATGTAGTAGCAGGTCTGTTACTTTAAAGGACAGTATTGGAATTCTGTTCTAATGTCTGCAGAGAAAAGTCTGCTTTTGCTATGGGATGGGAATACTTTTATGTCTGGTGGTATTTGATGCCAGCATGTGATTGGCGTGGTGGTCCTTGTTTCTGCATCACCCATGTATCACTTTCACCTTCCTAATTTTCCTCATTCTTGATTGCATGTTTGCTACCTCCATTGAGCATCTATGATCATTCTGCTTATGTAGAGAAGCTGATTGCTTGTATTAACTTATCTCTTCTAAAGTCATTTTCATCATGGTTAACCCTGTAACTACCATTCTGGGTTGAGTGAACTCTGAAATAAAAATTGATCCTTTTGTGTAGGCTGTGCCCTAAATTTGTAAAGTCCAATACTCTGTGCATTTTCATGAAGATATGTAAGTGTAATCAAGCAAAGTATTTTGAAAGTTTCCTTGGGAATGAATAGGTGAAAGAAAGAATTAAACTTATGGCCATCCAGGTACTAGTAGTTGCAGGGTTATAAATATTCTTCCCAATGGAAAGACTGGTAATAAAAAAAAAAGTGAGAAACAAATTTTAAGCAGGAAAGTGAACTACTGCTTGTGTCTTGGTGGATGTGCACACTGACTTAAAATGCCATAATGGCCAAGCATACTTCCTTAAAAATGAAAGGCTGCATCTGTAGTTAGCTTTGTTAATGAAATTTGTTACATGAACTCTTAGTATGGGCTAACGAAAGAAATGGCTTGTCAACAATGCATGCGTAAAATGCCAGGTGGCTCTTATTCATCATTCCTGTCAGTTGGCTTTTACAATAGTATCATGTATTTACCTCTGAAGCAATGCCATGACCCTGTTATACTGGGTGGCCCAACAAAAGGTATGAACTTTGTGCATCTGAAGATGGGGCATCATGCTAAGCATCATCTTGAAATTTTCAGTGTCATCCTCAGTATATGTAGATGGTTTTAGGAAAATTTCAATGAAATTCTGCTCTGAACATGTGTGAGAGCACTTTCCATGCAAGCCCTCAGATGAATAAGTATGTCGGTGTGTTTGCCGGTGTGCTGCCTCAGTGGGTGATCACTGGAGGACCCATCAAGCAATTCTTTCATTGAGGTCAGGTGCGTTTCTTTGCGCAATTGCTCTAACATTGTCAGTGAGAAAATTTGTTGCTTTTACTACCAATTTCGATGAAATTTTTGTTATACTACCTGCAAATATTGCATGTAAAAGCTTGTAAATATCCTGTTGATAACTCGTATGGTACACCATCTGCAGGCATGTAAAGTTCAGGGCTTTTTTTTTGGGCCACCCAGTATAATGCTGTCTCACCAACTTCATCTTTACTGAGGTTGGTTGAAAAGGCTTGCATCACTACAATTACATCTTATTCTTATTCATTTCTTATTCAAATCATACTGCCTCCCTTTTAAAAAATTAAGACTCGCAACACTGTGCAAACAACAAGATTACAACGTCAAGGGATTTGCTCTCTTGTTCCTAACATCTTGCCACCCTTACAACAATGCCCTCAGAGTCACTTCAGGAGATGGCATTTAATTCCTGAATTCCAGTGCAAAACCAATCGATTTTTTGCATCATCCATCCCAGCCATGATGAAATTGCTGAACATTGAACTCCTTGACTAATGTTCATTTTACACATCTCTTCTATCTCCTTGTGATGTTGAAGCCTCTTCTCCTTGTCTTTCTTTCTGTTACTTTGAGATGCAATTTGATTTTCACAATGTTTCAATATTTTACAGAAACAATAGCAAAAATATATGTCTGGGGGATACTCATCGCTCATTAGCCTGTATCCCTTCTGCATGCAGCAAGACTAATCTTCTTAAGCAGCCTTGATCACAATGGTCTGCTGAGCAAAACTATCTGAGAAGATAGCTTCTCTTCACATTCTTCCTGTCAGGACTTTCACTAATCACATAGAGGCTAGCTGGCTCAGACAGTCAACTCTCTGTGCCAGCTAGCCTCTAGCTGATGAAACTCTTCCACTCTCACCTTGCATGTAGGTGTTTAGCAAGTTCTCTCTGTTAAAAAGTTGTCCGATGACTTTTTAGTTCTAAAGATTTCACTATATATGATTTCACTATATAGACTGCTTTTAGTTCTTTTAATTTTATTAGCACAGCATAACTACTCGGAGTTTATTTTTTTTTCACTGTGAGTATTACTTGTGTAATCAGCTTTTTTACCGAGCCATTTTCATGAATATTTGTATATATATTCATGAAAAAAGTATCAAGTACTTCATTTTTTTACTTGTTTTGACTCATTTTTATGAGACCTATGAGGAACCAGTATAGCCAAATTGTCATTTCATCAATGTCCATGCTCTTAAAGTCAATAATTCCACTTGGCTGCCAATATGTATGCATGATTGTGTGCTGATTATCAAATATCAGTGAAACATTGTATTTGGTGCTTGCACAACTTCATCAGTTTATTTGTTTATAACTTGGCAGGTTTTGTGTATACTTATCAAGGACTTATAGACATAGATTTTTAATGAATCAAAGGATGTTTATAAAGACTTTTGGTTAGTGGCCAAAATATGTAAAAATTTAAGGGGTAATCATAACCCAGAACAAAATGATCAGGGAGCAATGGTAACTGGGATGGCACTGTTATCTAAATTGCACTGATGTCCTGTGCAATGTTTAATTAAAGTGGTAGTTGAGAGGATAATTGTGATGGAATGGAATGTTGCAGATTGGCCAATACAATGGGCTAATGGACTGCTTCTTGCAAGTGTTCCATGAAGAAGGATGGCATGGCTTCTTCAAGGGATATGTTCCAAGCCTGGTGAAGGCAGGGGCTGCCACTGGTGTATACTTCTGTGTCTACGAACAGACTTGCAAGTTCCTCCGTCTCTGGGAGACAACCCAGACTGAGACTCTGCAAGAACCAAGACAGTGGTGATGCTGTGGCTCCTGTCCTTCAGTATCTGTAGTTACCTGAGCCTGTGATGCACAAGGTGCCCCTTTTCCCCCAATAGTTTCTCTCTCAACCTCTTCATACAGCTGAGAATATAGCTGCTATTTCTTTAGAAGAAATAAGTTGTGAATATAAATGCATCCATTGTTTTATTGCTTCCAATGACAACTTTTTCTTGGTTTCATCATGACTCTGCTTGTAAGGTACTTGCTCATGGGCTGAAAATGGAAAAATTATATTGCATAATCTCTGGAGCAATCCTTAGAGGGTTGAACTACATGTCAAATTAATTATAGTAGCCTACATTTTTGTACAGTACTCATCAAAAGTCTCCCGCCCCCTTAACTGATAAGATGAGCCAGTGAAATGACAATCATTTTGTTGTATTTGTGTACACAGGACACTCACACAGGATTGATTGCTTATGGAAGTTAAAATTACCCTGACTTTCAATGACTTCAGAAACATAAGTTTTCATACTTTGTACAAGACTTACAGCCAAGTCTATTAAGAGTAACTCCCACTTCCATCTGCTGGCCAATACTAGGGATGAATAAGTTTTTGATTTTTTCATTTGGAACTACATCTTGTGTAGTTTCCACACATTTTTGATCAGGTTGAGGCTTGGCAACGCATCTGGCTAATCAAGTTTTCCAACCCCATTCTCCCCTCTCCACTGTTTTCCCAGTTTTGACTTGTGCTTCAGGTCATTGTCTTCCTGCAGTTTCCACAATGTCAATTTGGGATCAAATTGGTCCATGGCTGTCAGGAAGAGGCTGTACTCATAGATATACCACTTGTCCTTTGTCATTTCCGATATCACTGCCAACAGAAATAAATCAAATTTCTGAGGATAAGCAAATAATTATTAAAATAATCAAATATACTATTGAATCCAGACATTTGACTCATTATGTAGTAAGCTGCTTTCTGGTGATATGCTGGTTGGTCTAGTATTAGAGATGATGCCTTGCTCGAGTTAGAAAGTGATGTGACTATTTTATGACAAATCTAATCAACAATTGCAGAAATAGGTGGGATGTCCAGCTCTTTGGCCATTGAATAGAGTGTAGGATGGGAGGTGAATGTTTATATTGCAATTATTGTTAGTATACAGTAGATGGTACTACAGTGGGCATCTTGTAGATACCTGTTGGCAACTGCTTGCTGGAACCCCTGTGAGTCTTGTACATGTGTACCACATGTGCAAGACATGTACCACTTGAACATGCACATTAAGGAATGGAATGGTATTTGGGCAATGCTGAGCAGATTAAGCTTTGAATAGATGGACTCATGAGTAGGTAAAGTTATTCAGCCTCCAAGATCAAGCCTGAAGTCTTCAGAATGGCAAAGTTTCAATGATATCAGGATGGGAAGAACAGGAGATATGCACATATTCCACATGTTTTTATTATCATCGTCTATCTACACCAGGGAGTATCCAAGTATGAGAAATACAATAGAAGGGGAAAAAATGTGAAAAGGATATTTAGAAATATTCAATCATAGGGTTGAACTTTGAGAGAAATCCATCGAGTCTTTCAGTTCCATGGGCCAAACAATTTGGTGGCTGACATCTTTCAATGGTGGCTTCTCTGCAGAGTTTGGAGGTGCAGAAATCCCATGGTTGGCAGGTGGATGTTATTGCACATGATGGTGATGGAAACTTGGGGAACCTTGTCAGTACTTGCCAATTCATCTGGTATGATCATTCCTGGTTGGATTATCCAAAAAGGGGGCCATCTGTGAATCCGTCGACTATGAAGTCTGAGTCCCTTTTTCCTTGGGGCATCTCATGCTCATCCTTGTTGCTGTGACACTGTTGTCCTGGATGATGAGAATTCGAGAGAGATGAGATGTGCCATCCGCATTGTTGGGTTACTTTTGACCCCCTCTTTGAGATATGCTTTCGAGAAACAATCGAAGTGTTCAAATTATTTCATAAAATCAGAACTGCATGTGTTAGTGGGTTTTTTTTTTCGATGAGTTACTTATTCCTGTTCTCCTTTACAGTAGCGTGCCCAGGAAATCCGAATAGAGAGTTGACATGAAACACTGAATACCCACCCACCCTGTTTTTGTGGCCAAATTAAAAAAATTGTGAGAATCGAACCTGTAAAATTGATCCCAAGGAGGGGGGTTATGACCCTCCAACTTTGCGACTCCCCAACGTACCTCACGATGGTGAGGTTCTTATCAGTACAGAGCAGTTTTCGAGTTAAGACTTGCAGTCCGGGGAATCCCAACTTTTTGGTTTCTGTTTACGGGTTTCATTCTCAAGAAACGCTACCGTTCTAATATGATAAAGCAATTGGATGCTGCCTTTCCAATTAATTTAAAATGCCTCTTCGTTCCGATTTTCATTCTGTTCCTTTTTTTGGTGGCTGTTGAGACTTTATATCCCCGGAATAGGACGGAGGGCGTCCGACAATAGTCGAGCTGGCCTTAAAAGCAGCAAATCTCTCCGAGAAAAGAACTAGTTCCCATTTGACCTTGACCTTATTGGGCATTTCACACTTTGCGCCTTGCATTCTTTACATAGATGTCCGGGCAGGCTGGCAGACGGACGCGAGTCCAATACATCAAAATACAGTGAAAACTCGTTAACTCGAATCCTGATAAGTCGAAATTCTGCTTATCTCGAAGTTCAAAGCTTGGTCCCGGCGGAACCCCGTAGGACACCATGTTAAATGCTCCGTTTAACTCGAATTCGCTTATCTCGAATTTCCGGATATCTCGAATGAAATTTTCACTCCCGATAACGAATTTCTCACGGTTAACTCGAATTCAGGGTGAGAAGGGGGGAAAAATTT